GTGGGTGGGTGGGTGGGTGGGGCTGTTGTGTCCTCACTTTGTGAAAATTTAATTGCTTTTATAATATTGATTTGGCAAAATACCCTCTTCTGTTCGAGAATAATATTCACAAGGGTTTACCAACATTGTCTGTGGCCATTCACTTGCATGGGAGAACAAAATATTAAAATACTTTTTCAATATAATTCAATCCTATCCAAATCACACTAAAGCTTCAGAAATGACCATACTTCATTCAGCGCCTCTGTTGGACACCAGTCACATGTTTGTATTTAAGCAGCGATGCTGCAATGTTTGTAGAAGGAACACAATACAAGTCATGAAAATACAGGTGAAGAATCAAGTAATTTAACACACATAAGGCTCTGTACTGACTGTTGGCTTGAAGCTCACTCACAAGACCCTCCCATGTTTGTGTCGTTCTGGGCCTGTGCAGTCCTACTGGTGTCATCTCGGCTCAAAGCAGCGATCTCAGATGTTGATCACCTGTCGTTGTGAGAGCTGTTCAGGCATATGCCGCCAGCTGAAGGCCACCAGTGGCCGCCTCCTCCTTTTTTTTGTCGATTCTCTACTTGTTTCGGTTAAAGTCTGGATCAAAGCAGATGACTGCTGCTTTTAGCTCCTATCCTAACCAAAAAGCTTGTTTTAAAGCCGCACTAAACATTTTTATTTTAATTATTTTCAAATATTTTTATTTCTAAAATAACAAAAACACATGATGTGAATTCACAAAAAGGATTGTGCATATTTTTGCGGCTGCTAAACTTGCACAAATACCATAAAAAGAAGGCGTGTAAAATGTGTAAATCTCGACACACCTGCAAAGAGTGAAAAGCACCCAGAACCGCTCCACCAAGCAAACAGCGTCTCACTGCTCCACCGCTATTTGCATGTATTTACATTTGGTAATATGAATATATTTGGTGCAAAACTGTCTTTCTTTACACGGATCATTGCAAAAAACTTCAGAAGATTGGTGGTAGCTGAGCTCATTTATAGGAGGTGTCACCGCCGCCTGTTTTTAGAAGCTTGTGAGGCATTGACTGACATTTTCTTTATTTTGCCTAAAATCGTATATGTTTGAACTGATTTTCATCGGATTGGAGTTACCTTTACACTGAGAAGTTGTCATTTCCTGCTTTAAGAAATGGACTGAAATTAAGGCTAGCTTATTAGATGCTTCTGGTAATATATTAAGTGAGAGGAGAAAAAAAACATATGAATGTGATTCTGTGCAGGTGCTGATGATGCAACCGCTCAATAAGTTTTACCCCCTTCCGTATTAGCAGACACAACAAAGAGCCGCGCTGACCGAGGACATGTCACGCTTTCCTTGTCTGATGACACGGCGTGTCCTTGTTCACACGCTGTTGAGTAATCTGTCGCCTTTGCTTTCTTCTCCAGTAAAATGAGCAGCCTGGCCCGACCACAGGAAAGCATATGTTCCCTCCCGATGTTCCACATGTCGGTACCTGTGCTACAGTATAGTGCACAAAAGGACAGTGGGAACATCCGAGTATTTGATGTCACTTTGGCTTTTGTCGACCATCTCTCTTTGCTGTTTCTTCTCATTCTTGTTTTTGGACTTGTCTTTGTAACCGACCGATCATTGTCTGCTCTCAATCTGTGCTCTGATCTGAGTTCAGCGTAATGTTGCTCCTCCCTGTGTTTGCAGTGTTGAGTGTTGATGAAGGCTGATTTGCTGACTAACTAGGCCCCTGAAATACATTGTGTACCTGCACAGATGGCGGCAGACATTATTGCCATTACCTTACTGCGGCTGGCAGATGGCTCGAGAAATCCTATTGCATACGTCGACATTAATATCGCCTGTATGAACCGGCGTTGATTTGACTGGACCTCCTCTAGTACGACTCGGCCAGTGACTCCCAAACATGCAGAGGAAGACAAAGTTATGTGAGGTTTAGGTGCTTTACGAAAAACTGCGATTTCAGGAAGTTTGTTCTGAACTTTGCCTTTAGAAAGAGCGTTATGTTGAAATTCATGTTTTCATGAACCGCAAGAAGAGATCCTCTTAGGGAGATCCAAGTGTGCATTGGTCAATGAGCCATATGTTTACTGCCTGAAGTCATGTTTGTGTTGCTTTATATATTTCTTTATATACCCTGTAGTTGGCATGAGAGGTTTGTTTACCGTCATTGCAGCTGCCTCACTAAACTCAAAATAATAGAAGGACGGGGAAAAAAAGCTGAGGAGCGAATGAGAGAGAAATAAGCAGGAGGGATCAAGCGAGATTGAAACGGACACGCTCTACAGGCGCATAGCATCACGGCACTCCTTCAGCCGCACCAATTCTGAGCCTCATTTGTTGGAGGGCCTTTTCGTTTTCCTTTTGTTTTCCAAGCTTGTGATCCCTTTAAATGAGGCGATGTCATCAAAAGAAGGGTGATTTATTTTTTTAGGGGGGGAGTGATTTCATTTGAAGAATATTTCGAGGCTTGTAAAAGTAAAATAATCCAATATATCACCAGAAGAAAAGCAATACTTCCGAAAACACAACGTGTATTTTTCAATCTCATCCCTTTAATCATCTGGTGAGTGGTGAGAGTCCTGGGTCCTGACCCCAGCGTCTTTGCAAACGAAAACAAGAACTGCACCCCCGTAAAGACCTAATTAAAAAGTAGAAAAACGTTCTGTGTTCTGAATTTTAACAGATCTAACATTACTTTACTCGACACCAAAACACTGTTTTATTTATGTCTGTACATCCACAATATCTGGCCCCTGTGTGCATGCGGGGAGCTAACTGCTATCCTGGGTGTGACAATTGGCAACCCCGTCCGCTTGTTTGAAGTAAACAACTATTCTCGGTGTTGGAGTCGGCTACGCTGTCGGCCCGCATTACTCTCCAGCGGTTCATGCAGACGTTAGTCTCGGTGTATGTTTAGACGGCATGTGGGGGCGTTAGTGTCGCTATGCGGGTGTGTTTTCGTCCGTTAGTTCCTGTGTGTCCGTCAGCTGTCGCTCAGCGCCCCTCTCACCTTGTCTGCATGTTTGTCTGTATTTCCAAGTGCCACGCAGACGCTAGGAGTTATGGTCTGTTACCATGCCAGCTCATATTACCGTCAAACCTCTATCCCGCTGTGTTAGTTTTGGTGTATGTTTAGGTCACGTCTTCCTGCTCACGTCCTGCTCATTCTCATCATCTACGCTGTCTATTTGCAAACTGGACCGTACATAACGTGTTTTTTTTATTCATTGAACTCTACTTTTCGCTCCGCTGCCTGGCAAGCCACTGTAAATACTTCTGTAAATAATCTTTCCTCCCTTCCAACACATTTTGCAGGCGTGAGCAAGGAAACACACTCGTCACTCTGTGTACAGCACATACTACCAAGTTGATATTCTGTGCACCTGGTGTCCAGGTCCGGCTGTTACAGCAAACCCATTACACACCTGATCGTGTCAGCGAGGGTGGGTCCATGCCACCGGTTTGGCTTCGGACTCCAGCATGTACACACACACACACACACACACACACACACACATCGGTTAAAAGTCAATTCTCTGCACTCCAGCCTCTTGTGTATATTTCTCTGCTAATGGTCCAAAGTCTTATGATTTTGGTAGTGTTACCTTAAAGCATTACCATATTTGTACAAAATGCCTGGTGTTCAACTATTTCAGAGTGAATTGTTTTTGACGTTACACTTGCCGAGCTTCTTCTGGCCTCATTTGTTCCTCTTGTACATCACCCATTGTTGTCTCTACTGTTACATTTATCCCACGGTTGTGATTCTATTTTAATCCTGTTTGAATGTAGCCTGATGAGATATAACCTCTTCCCTGCTGGTGTTGAGTATAAATGAACACACATCGTGTGTGTGCGCGTGTGCGTGTGTGTGTGTGTGTGTGTGCGTGTGTGTGTGTTTTTCAAATCCACATAACACACCACGATGTGCAAAAGTAATTCCTTGATGTTGTGTGTGTGTGTGTGTGTGTGTGTGTGTGTATATACAGCAAATCCACAGGTCTCATCCAGCACTGATATGCGAGGCTTAGCATGAACTAACACAGCAGAGGTCAGACAAACACCAGAGACAAAGTAGGAAACACTTAAAGCTGGGATAATGATATTGCAGAGGCAACAGCATGCTTAATAATTCAGCTTGTGGTTCTTTTTAAGAGTCTCATAACCTCTCATTAATGCTGGCAGATTAGCAGCGTATGAAGCCGTTGCTGCAATGTCCATTGTTTGCATCATGGGTAACTTGAATAAAAGAAACTAATCCAGTAGGATTAGTTTCTTCTTTTTTCTTTATCACCATCATGATGAGTCAGTTTTGTTTCTTTTTTTTCTTGTTGAGCACAACTACAGTACAGTCTCTGTGGATTCAATTAGGAGTTTTGGACAATCCTTAACCACATGCTTTAATGCTTTAAATACTAGTTAACAAAGTCAGTCAGACCATCCATCCAGTATGAAAAGCAGTCCAACTGTGTTTAGAACAGACTTTACCGACTCTTGGTTTTTTCGGTCCCTGCCTGCATCCATCAATGAAACCCATTTTTTCCAATTTGGTTAATTAAAGTGTAACATCTGATGTTCTGTTTCAGAGTTGAGCTCCGAGAACCTGCGCACCTGCTTTCAGATCGTTATTGCCTACTTATATTTGTCTGCCACAGACTTCCTGCAGGTGAGGCGCACACACACACACCCACACACTCTCATATAATCCACATACATTGTAAAGGACTTCATACATGCTCAATTCATCTCTTTCTCTACAGAACTATGCAGAGTCTTTGTGTCGAGCTTTCTGCAATATGCTGAAAGACATCACGAATGAGGGACAGGTTCAAGTGTTAAAGGTACTGTCAATCCGTCCTTCTCACACACAGAACTACGTATCTCACCTCTGTTTACTCTTTATCTCTCTCTCTCCTGAGTTTTTCATCCTCCCTCCTTAAGTTCCACCAGTGTTTGTTTGTTTTGTCGGTGTGGCCCGGTTTAGAGCAGGTGCACTAGAAGTGGCATTGAAGGCGTTTATAAACCGACTGTTTTTGTCATGACTACTTTCCCACAATCGTGACGAAGGCAGCGCAGACCAGGTCCACTCCTTCTGTCCTTTCGTCTTTTTTTGCCTTGTTACAAGTTTCTTTTTTTGGGTTTTCTATTTTCCGATGCGAGTGTCCAAGTACAGAGGATGTCGTATGCTGCACGCATTTTAAAGCACTCTGAGGCAAATTTGTGATTTCTGATATTGGGCTGTACAAAATAATTGAATTGAATATCGCCCTACCATATACACATCTTAACCGTTTGTTAAAAGTAAACTCTATAAAATACCTTACTGTATAGCTTAGGCTGTACAGCGATTCTGGGTCAATAGGATCCCCAAACCTTGTACTGAAAAAGTGCTGCGACGGTCGAATCGCTGCCAGTACAAAAGGTTTACCTGAGAATTAAAAGACAATCATCTGAATACTGACATCAGCTTTGGTCTGGCTAGATCTCAGCCTGTCTTTTGATAATGTTGACCATAAAGGCTTCTGCATAGGTTCCTTATTGAAGTCGAGATATCTGATATGGACCTCAGCTGGTTCATATCTTAAAGGCAGGGGCCGTGTTAACACCATTGCAATCATACAGTAAATATGAAAGAACCACCATCTCAGTGGAGTTCCTCAGGTTGTAGTTCTAGGGCCATTCTGGAGCCGTTCTCAGTTTTATATAACGTTAGCATGTTTTCACTGAAAGATAATTGTCTGTGACTGTTTCTATTACTGGCAAATATATGTTGTTTCAACCAGAAGCTCTGAACAGTAAGCCGCGCTGTGGGTGTGCTTTGCTTGTGCGATGTTGGTAGACTTTTTGAATTGTCGTTTCTTTTGGTGTGCTCTCTGACTTTCAGTCGGTGCGCGCGCGCGTGTGTGTGTGTGTGTGTGTGTACATGACAGTGTGCACATGTGCCGTTTGCGCCACTTCAGCAGTGTATGTATGCAGAAAGATCACATAACCGTAGAGATTTATCTCAGTGAAGCTCAGTGGCATTACGGCACATCTGGCTCCTGCTAATCCTTTGTTCTGGGGAAAAGTGAGCCAGCTGACTATAAACCTGTCAACCTACATGTGCACACGGCAGCTCACCACACATGGGCTCCCTGAGAACAGAGGGATCAAAGTAATCAGCATGCGTTTCTATGAAAAGTTCATTATGCAAGACAGATATAGCCCCTCACTGTCTCTGTGCTGCGAGTTTGCTCGCTGACCTTTCGAGTTAAATATTCTCATTTGATGGTTTCATTTGCGAAAATGCCATTTGTGATGTTTCAGTGTTACATCATCATGCTGGTGTGGTCTGGATTTATGTTATAGGCTAATGAGAATGGAACGATCTTTTACTGGTTTGGACCCCGTCCCTGCCCTTTAAGATTACTTTACGTGGCTAAATGTAGATATGACGGAGGTATTTTTCTGACCATCAAAGCGAGCACATCGATTACTGAACCGCTCTAATATTATCAAGAAGGTAAGATGTATTGCTGTTGTATTACAGTGGATTGCATTATTTTACAGCTGAGTGCACATCCTCATACTGTAGGTAGGAATGCCGACAGTGCCTCTGTCAAGTTATATTTGACTCTTACATGCTTCATATTTCGGCTTTGTTTTTTGTTGCTGTACTTGAGCTGCAGAACTCGAGTATTCTTTTGATTTCAGCTTCAATGCCTCGTAGAGAGCTCATTTAAATGTCTTGCCACATACTGTAGGTCAGACCCTCAATTAAAAGGAGGATTCTCGACACTCTTTTCATATCTCTCAAAGACGCAGCTCCCGCTAACTCCCCCCCGTACGTCCTCCCACTCTTTGTCTCTACATCATCCTGCACCGACCCAAACCTTCTCTCGTTTGGCACACACCCTCTCCGGGCCGAGTTCTTCCCCTTCTGTTCCGCTCGTCTCTCCTTGCCGCTCTTCCTAACTGCCCTCTCTCGACTCTCCTCCTCCCTCTCTCCCCGTGTCTCGGCAGGTGGTGGAGATAGCTTTAAAGGTTAGCCCCATACTGGGAGCCCACATGTTCCAGCCCCTGCTGCCAGCTGTCTTCAGAGGCATTGTGGCCGGCGAGGTGAGTTTGACCCGGACATTTTTCACAGATCTGGACCTGTAATGGTGTTATATTGCCTGTGGTGAAATTTCACTTAATTTCCTTCTTCTTTCACTGAATGCTAAAATACTTGAGAGAAGGTCCTGCATGTACTTTCAGTTTGTCCTTTCCTGTCATGTAAAAAAGAAATAATTCTCATGGAGAATATATAGTGGTGTTTATTGATCATACAGCTCAGTTAAGGGTCACAGGCTTTTCAAGTATCCTGCTGTGTCAGTAGATCTTCTTCGCCCATAACATGCTTAATGATATTGGCTTTATGTAAAAGCATGAGTGATTACGTTTCACATTGCTGTGTGCGTGCGTGTGTGTGCGCGCGCTTTGCACAGAGGTATCCCGTGGTGATGTCCACCTACCTCGGAATCATGGGCCGCATCCTGCTCCAGAACTCCAGTTTCTTCTCGTCTCTGCTCACTCAAATGGCCTCCGAGTGCAGCCAGAAGGTGAGCGTCGATGTCCGCCCTTCATATCTGTCCACTCAGCACAGTCCCCTTTTGAAATGTGGGCGAGAGACATAACCGCAAAGTGCCTGTTAAAAGGGAATCATTCTGAACGAGACGAGAAGTAATGAGCCAAGGAATTGCAAATGGAAACATATTAAAGTTTAGAGTTGTACCCCCTTTTCTGTGAAAGTGACTTTTTTTTTTTTTTTTTTTTTTTTTTTTTGTCTGACCAAGAGCAACACTGACTTTGTCAGGTTTTTACATCGTTGCCTGAATCTAAATAAATGAAAGACCTAGAGTTGTCTCTCCATCATGCCTCTCCTTTCTTTAAGATAGAGGACAAGTCAGTGAGGTTAATGAGGCAGAAATACAGGGAAGGTGAGTTTTGCAGGCTTTTATAAGACAAAGGCTAAACCACACTTTAAAACGTTAGAATCGATCAGTGTTTCATGAGTTGCCAAACACTGTTTAAGTCACTCTTGCTCTTTAAATATTGAATTGCCGCTCCTCTGTTTGTCTCCTCGTTCTTCCCTCTATATTAACCCCCCGCACATCTCTCCTCCCTCCCCGTCCACCTCGTCTCCTCCACCCTTCTCTCCGCCCATCAGATGGAGCAGCTGTTGGGCAGCGTGATAGAGATGTGGGTCGACCGCATGGACAACATCACTCAGCCGGAGAGGAGGAAGCTGTCGTCGCTGGCTCTGCTTTCCCTCCTCCCGTCGGACAACAGGTGAGAAGCACTCGTCGTTCATCTGTCTGCAGACGGGGCTTTGAGCTGGTGAGAAGTGGATGGCATCCGCCGCGTCAGCACAGCTGGCACCAGGGTAAATAAGGGGGAAGTGAAGACACAAAATATTTACTCGGCCCTTGTTTGTCTTTGTAGAGCGTAGCTGGTGGACTCATCCTTATCGGGGAGGTCTGTGTCGCTAAGTGGGCACTAGCAACGGAGAATATCAGCTGCTGTTCAAAAGTTTGACGAAGACAACAGATTTGTACCCTACAGCCATAATATGCTGCACAAAATCAACAGACTTAACACCATATGGGTGCCAGTATTACGTGACAGCAGCACACGCATATATGCACAATGCAGGCACACATAGGCAGTGGGGGGTCTCCAGACACGATTTACATGGTGCTTACAGGAGGTGTGTTGTCCAACAGACTGTGCGGCACTTCTAGACACACCACAACATGCTCTGTGAGTTTATAATCGGTCTAATTTACCATCTCTCTGGACCAGCCTTTAAGAGGAGACATGCAAAGTGATGAGGTATTTTGATCCGGCGTTATCCGCGGCATGACGCATCTCTGCTTGTGTGCGCGCCTCCTGCTGTGAGTTAAGTTTGTGCGTCCACTTGTTCATGCAGTTATTTTGTCGAGTTGAATTGTAGTGGTGTACTTTGCATAGAAACAACAGCATCTTCTGAGGTTAGTTGCGAAAGTTTTAGGACCGTTGCATGCAATGCTAGAACATTTCCACCGAAACAGTTCCTTTCCTTGCCAGATATTCACGATAAAGCACTTAGTGGATCTTTAGGTTGAATCTGAGGTTGACTCGTGTACCCAAAGGGGTGGCTGTCCTACATAATGTCAAGACATGTTATCATGCTCCCACATTTACTGCTACCAGACTTGAACCAGCATGTTGCATTGAGAGAGAGATGAAGCATGTTCTTGTCTTGCGTCAGTCATCACATATTAGGCTGCCATCGACACCTAAACGTGTCAGGTAGGCTGACGAGGAAGGCTGAGCACCAAATGTTTAGAGAAAGTTCTTCACTTGCCATCAAAAGAGATTTCTCATTTCACATTCTCAGTGAAACTTCTCTTGAAGTGGTTCAGAGGAGTCACTGTGGACTTTCCTGATCCCCTTTCCTCGTGTCCTCTCATCTCACTGTATATATGGTGCTGCATGTTTTTATCAAGATTTTGTGAAGCTCAGTTGTCTGCAATTGAGATATGGTTATCGCAGACGGGCATGCAATCCTTTGTTGCGCCCCCATCCTCGGTCTCACACAGCAATTGGTTATGACAGCGTTCGGCTGGTTAAGTGCTGCATGACCAATCAACGTTCTCACATACAATCAGAGCTGAAGCTGAATGAGGTCCATGTCCGCCCTTAACAGCGTTCATTATTTGGTCTTTTTCTGACTCCGTCCACTGCGTTCTTGTGAACGCGATATCTCAGGAACGCCCAGAGGGAATTGCTTCAAATTTGGCACAGACGTTCACCCGGACTCAAGGGGGAACTGATTGGATGTTGGAGGTCAAAGGTCACTGCGACTTCACGTCCATCCCGTTCTCATGAGATCTCGGGAGCGCCTCTGGCGAATACCTTCACATTTTGGCACAAACGGCCTCTTGCACTTAAGGATGAACGAAATATATGTTGGTGGTCAAACGTCAAAATGACTTAAGATTGTCTATAAGCTGTAGCAAAGTATGAAGTGACGTTCATGGCTGGCCTTGTCTGGCACAGGTAGACCTTTCCTCATAATGCTGTGTCGTTTGGCTCCACACATATTCATTCTGGTGTTTGGGGGGGGGGGGAAGCACTCTGGCTTGTTTGTATTTCTTTGAACCAATCACAATTGTCTTGGCGCTAAGCACAGGATGCAGCAACAGTAGACAGCAGATAGCGGAAGGGAAGCAGGCTTAAAGCCCTTAACATCCAGTGAGTCAGACTACGGGAAGCCTAAATCCTCCGTTTTACTGGAATTGAAGAATGAAACTCAATCATAATGACTAATCTTATAATTATTATTTTTTTACCCTAATGGTATAATTATTTTTATTTATTTTTATTATACATAAATGCATCATTGAAAAATCAGCAGTCGCAAGAAAAAAAGTAAACGGTGACTTTTTCTAGCAATCATTTAGCACCACAAATTAGCGGTTGTGCTTAGAAGACAGGAAGTAAGAGCTTGTTAGAGAAACATGTAGAAAACATGTTATCTGGATGAAGGATCAGCAAGAGGTCAGTGACATTTAGAAGAAAGAATTGGAATAATTGCGTGAATAGGTAGGTGTTATAATTAAATGTCTAGTGTTTGTGTTTGCAATGTTGAATAAACAGCAAGACACTCTGGTGGAGTTTGTCCATAGCAGGAGGTGGAATCTTTGGTGAACCGATATTTGGAGATGGAACTGAATTTGAATACTAGTAGTCGTAATAAGCTGATGACATTTGCATATCGGTTCTGTTTGACTTGCAACACTGAATATTTTATCTCCACCCCTTACTTTTTGGGTGTCTATAAGAAAAAGTGTGGATCAGTATTATGCAGCTGTACAGTAGAGCGCACCGCTGGGAATTTGCTTCAAGGCATAAAGCAAGAAGACTCCTCGAGTTCTGTGAAACAGCTTCACTTACACTTTTCACGGGATGATTTTTATTTAATCCGTCAGCTGCTTTTCCTACTTAGTGATGGCACGTTAACGCATTCAAAGGAGGAAACCTGTTTGTCCGTTGATGAGGTGGGCTTCTTACTTTCGGAAACTTTTGTGCAATCTAAGGGAACCAGAATGGTTCAGTTTGTATTTAACATGCACAGCCATGAGGCCATTTTCACTAAAGACTGCTTTAGTCATCAGAACCCGTTGGTATTTGTTTTGCACTACCAGTTCATCATCACTGACAGTTTGCTTTACGAAGGCAGAGCAACAAGAACAAGCATCGTAGGAAATCAATATGCACACATCTTTATTGCATGGGTCTGCTGTCCTCACATTGTGTCTAATCATGATTATAACGGTGTCTTCTCAAAGTCATGTTCAGAGGAATGTTCTCCAAGTACTCATCAATGTTTTTATCAAAGTTCTGTTCGATGTTTGATGCAGACATTTGATCTGCACCTATAGCTTGCATTAATGCATACTTATTTTGCATTTTTTTTTTAATGTAATTGCTGGTAAATTAGTACTAGTAAATCAAGCTCTTCTCCAGTGTGAGATTATGCAATGATTTGGCTTTATTTGTTTTTATTCACACATATATTTTTTTAGAAACCTGTAGTTTTTGAATTCTTAACTACTTGCCCATACGGGTAATTTGTCAGTTCTGTCATTAGAATATTTCCCAATATAATACATAGCTTTGATATGCTTTACATTTTCCAATGCAAGAGTTGAAGAACTGAAACAATCTTGAGTCCTGTCATGAGTTATGCGCTTGCCACTTACACCCGCACTTGTGCTATTTAAGGTTTACTCTAATGATTCAAAGTTAATGATGCTCAGCAGCATCAATTTGAATCAGGGATGTTTAATTGAAATCCATTTGCAACAAGCTTAGATGGACTGTATCTAATCTATGCACGCACACACGCGCACGCACGCAAGGAGGGAGAAGAAGAGCATTTACTCTGCTTCTCTAAAGAGGTCAGATTTGACCATAGACATTAAATCTGTAATTGCAGCTGAACACGAAAGAATCAAATATGAAATGTATTTTCTGAAAAAAAAAAATGGTTTTGGATAACACTTAAAATGTCATTCTGTGTTCAGCCTTCACACTTCACTTCACTGTCCTCCACTCCTTTATGCTGCGAGTACGACTCCGACACAGGTGCTGTGAGCAGGCTTTGCTCTTGTCTCGTCTTTGCTCGCGGCCCGTCGGCTCAGATCCTGTACCCACTTACATTGATTTGAATGGCAGGCACGAAGCAGCTAGCACTAGTCAGCCATTAGAAAATAATCACCGGACAAGTGCCGCGCTGGATAGAATTAGAATTGACGGACATGTTTAAATGTGTGATAAGGGATCTTTGATACCATGCCTGCATCCAGTTGTTTCTATGGCTGCCAATTTGAGACGTTTATTCAGAAATTGGGGGCTGAGGTGTTCAGCGAGGTATTTTACGCTCCCTGGATATTAGTAGTGAAATGTTGCCGGCTGAAAGGAACAACTGTTTAAACTTCCCCTGGAGCCGTTTCCATTCTCTTTGAAGTCAATCACAACTCGTATCTGTGTGAGTGTACGTACATACATTAAATCTACCTCCACACTACTACGTTTTCATTTTAAAACGCCTCCCTTTGCTACGTTTATGCCGAGCGTCCACAGCACTCCGGCCTTTTAGAACCCTTAAAATGAAGATGTTTGCAAACGCTGCTGAAGCCATTCTAGTTCGAAAACTCTGCGGTTGCGTTTTAGTTTATTTTAAATGGGCAGAAACGGAGAGCGATGACGCAGAAACCTAGTACGCTTCTTGATTGGCTCACATGGTCCCCGATTCGTCACGCCCCTATCACGTGATCCTCTTCTGGAGGAAAACAAACACCATCAGCCTCAACTAGCAGTAGTTTATTTCAAAACGGCTGACCTAGCAGCTGTTAATTCTGCATTTGATAATGCTTCTGCTGCCTACATATGCAGGAGGCAAGCTATTATTCCAGCGCTTTGTGACAGTTCCTGTTCCAACCCTACATGGAGCGCCCGTTTTGGGGGGGAGGCCAAAAATAACATGCGCCTTGTAAGATAATATTATCGATGAAGTTTTGGTTCCTCAGGATTAGCGAGAGAACGATCAAATGTCCAGATCGGCCCTGATCAACCTTAGTGATGGATTGCGTCCGCATGTGGTTGATGTGTGTGTGAGAGAAAGATAAAGCAAGACCTTGAATACACGTATAGCAGCAGACTATATCTTTGTTGGTGGCTACTGTAAATAAAACCCCTTATTGCAACATTTGAAAAACATATGCTTTCATATTTTTTTATCTGAATTCGTCTTTGTTTTGAGCGTGAGGTGCTAAAGAGGGGACTGCAGAGTACATTGGATGAGTCTTCTTCCCGTCTACGGCACTGAAACATCTGCACGGAGATTGTTTTTGTTCTATTAAGCTGTTTTAAAGTGAAAATATAGTCGTGTGGATGGAGCTCCAATTTGATTGGAGAAGTACACAGTTCATTTAAGTGCAGAATAGAACAACAGTCATATGCTGAGTAGATGGATCCCCTGTTGCTGTAGCTCAGCTTTCACGTGATTTCAGTCTTGATGTCAATATTAACAAAATAAACACGAGCATAGCGATTCCCACTCACGAGAAGTAAGAGAGAGGTCTGTTTTCACTGGCTGGGTTTGTATCCGTCATGCACTGATTTTTCAATTTTTTTGCCAGACTTCATGCTCAGTGAACTTCATGCAACATTGCCTGGGGTCGACCAAGCCAAGCACCTGAACTGACAGTACCTTTGATGCATCAGTGCCCATATACCGCCACATACTCTCTCTTTGTGTCTTTGTATTCTTTTCCCTCCCTGCTCTTCATTCCCATTGACTTGGGGAAACCCCCACTTCCCTTCCAGTGCTTTGGAAGAATGGCTCAAATAATGAATCAATGACTGCCGCTTGTCTCTAAGCCAGGGTGGTGGGTTGATGCGAGCCAGCATATTTTAAAGCAATGCTTTTTATCTGGAAGAATCACCTCAGTGGCTAAAATAAGACTCAGACCGCAAGGCTGCGCGTAAAGCGTTATTGATTTTTATTTTTCACACTTGAGTGTGTGAGACAATCAAATAAAACTGCATTTCTAGGTGGACAATCCCCCTTATCATATGCTACTGATCAGTGCAATGGGAACATGTTTTTCTGGGATCATAAAAGTAGAGAAATGTTTTCAACCATTACCCGATTGATGTTTATTCTTTTTTTGGTTTGCCTTTGTGTCTTTTTGAAAATGTTCCTTCCAAATGGAAGCCAATGGAGAAACGGGGAGAAGCATACAAACGGAACAATCTGGACACGTGTCCTATAACATGAGTTGATGAATGGCATAGATCCCCTTTTCTGTGGACGGCCATATGTTTTTTTTTGACAGACACTTCATCACTTTCAGTGTCACCAGGATTTTACCTTGACTGTTGCTCTCTGTTGTCATGGTGCTCTTGATAAACCATTTGCTTATTTGGGCAGACGCCCATTTCTCTCTCTCTCTTTATACGTGCATCTAGCTTTCTTTTTCATTCCAACACACAGCTGTTGAATGAGTGACCTCGTGAGTAATGAGTCGGTGGTGTCTGTTTGTCATCAGTGTGATCCAGGACAAGTTCTGTGGCATCATCAACATCTCCGTTGAGGCCCTGCATGACGTGATGACGGAAGATTCTGAAACGAGCACCTTCAAAGAGTAAGTATGCGTGTTTCTCACAAATTGACCGAGAAGAACATCTGCATCAATACTTGTACCTTTAATAAGCAATACAGTACCTTGCAGAGGTGAAGGCCGTTTGTAATTTTGACAAAGCTCATGCATACTGAATGAATGTTGACATATCTGTTTTGAAAGCAGTGCAGCTCGATGCTCCTTGGAAAACAAACTTCTAAAGAACGATTGTAAATCAATGATACGAAAGCAGCCCTGCTCATGGAGCATGACGGTGCCCTGAAGAAGACTGACTTAGCAGCGTTGATCAGAAAACTGTTTTCATCATTTTTGCGTTCAGCATTTTTATGGCCGCCTTGATGATGCACCGGAGACAACCCTCCCCTAGCGCTATATACAAATTCAAGCACATAACATCAGTGGCCACCCCCCCCGCTCAATGTGCCGTGACTGTAAAACCGTCGATAAAGTGTTTTGAGCCTCAACCCACGCAGAAGAACTTGTTCCACCATTTATAATTTGATCAATTCGGTCACAACACATTTGGAAAGTTTAGAAGAGTCGCACGATTGGATGATTTTATTCCCGTTCAAATTAGCATAGGGCCGAACTGGAAGTCTCCGGTGCGCATGCTCTGCCCGTAGAGCAGCAGAAGTAGCACGCAGCAGTGAGATGGCCAAAGAGAAGTAGTATTATTATTATATACTGTACATACATCCATGGTACATACTGTGCTCGTATAATCGACCCTCACTGCGCTGTCAGCATTTCAGAGAAGTGTAATACTGCTTATTTTTCACAATTTTATAACCTGATTTATATACTTAGTGATTTTTATTCACCATTCTGATTTGGCCGGGTGGTTAAAGACAAATGTTTTTGTGGTGTGTGACTTTAACCTACACACACACACACATTTCCTCTGCTTCCCTCCTGAAATTTGCCAGTGTGAAATAAAGTGAAAAGTTGGGTCGAGCGGTTAGTGCAAATGTTTCCTTATTTGCCGGTGATGTGTTGAATTGTTTTGGTCCCCTGTTGTGCTTCATAACAGACAAGAAACATATTTGTGGATGCACATTTTATTCACTGTTTGTAAATGCAATCAACTGAGACGGAAAGCAGTGGGTAGTGTAATCTTCCTTTAAGACTTCCCTTTCATTCTTCTGTTCTTATAAGTGGTTTGGAATAGTTCCCGTGTGGTGTGGAATAACAATGGAAGTCATTGCTGCCATGGATTAATTCAGTAAAACATGCCAGTTGGCAACCCAATTCATCATGTTACTCCAGTGTTATTGTAGTAAATCAGTCACTTGTTACTCAACTACTGTAAAAGGAATTAACAGTGTGAATGTCTTTTGTGCTGAACTGAGCTGCATAGGATCAATGTGCAAGATTCTAAAAACTAAAATATAGGAAAAGAAAAGTTGTACTTTCAGTTCAACAAAATTCAAACTTCATACGTTTTAAAAAGGGGAAGTAAATATGTGGCCATATGTAGCTTTAACTGCAATAACGGATTTTTTTTTGTGCCACCCTGGGGCAGCAGAAACGAGTTGTGAACACAACGTTGACGTATAATCACCTTTAGTTTATTTGGCGATCTTCATGGCAAACAGTTGCTTATTTACACATCCAGCAGTCACGGAACAACATTTTCATTCATTCCGAGTTGTGTCTCTGGCCACCTGATCAAGGTGGGACTACAGATGAAAAATAGCCTCTTGGCTAACTCTGGCGCATTTATAGCAATGTTCTTATTAATGTGCACTGTCCCTTATCAAATAAACCAATTAGTAAAAAAATGTAAGCCGATAATTCATTCTCTTGTAGCTCTGTTTTTGGTCACCAACTCCTGAAGAAAATGTCTGGCTCTTTAGCTGCTGACTGTTGTGTCTGTCTGCCGTTTGGTGTTTTTCCACTGATGACAGCTGCCTGCTGCGCCCCGGAACGACGCCATGAGATGGTGGGAGTGAACCGAAACAGTAAAGCTGCAAAGTGTAAATCGCTATAAAGCTCTAAAGTGCTAATTCTCTGTAGGTTTATCAGTATGAAGGGCTTCTTTTACACTGTCACATTATCTTTACGTTGTCATTTGATACATTATTATAGAAATATTGAGCCACTTTAAAGGTGTGTTCACTCCAGAATAGACAGACTGGATGGGAGTATCTGAGCTGTATAAACGTGCTGGATTATTAGTGTGGATTTCATTAGTCAGAGTTTAGGTAGAATTTAGTTAATATTTCTGATCACGACTTTTTTAAAATGCCACATGTCAAAGTCACCAAATGTGACATTCGAGAGCCCCACTACCTTACCTTCACTCGCACAAAGGATCAAGTAAACAAAAAAAAAGGCGGCAGAAGAAATAAGACTTTGGACTGAGCACAAAGGTTTCGCTTGTAATTCTCTCTGCATGCTGATGAACCAATATGAATAGCAGGTCGGGCTGTGTACTCGAGTGCCAGAGGGTTCAGCCTTTTCTCCTGTGTGTGTGTGTGTGTGTGTGCGTGTGTGTGCGCGCGCACGCTGCCTGTCCTGAAATTGTCTCCTACTGTTGAGGTCTGTACGTGGTTATTAATATTGAGTCGGATATTATTGTTCGCAGCTGCATGCTGATGAGCCATTTTGAGGAGCCGAAGCTGAGTGATGACGAGGAGCCACCGACTGAGCAGGACAAGAGGAAGAAACTGGTCAGTGAAATACACACACAAACACAATTGTACACACACAATAAAGATCTAATTTCGCAATCGCAAAACCTTTTTGTTCTGTGGTCCAATTCTCGTTTGATATTTCACACAAATAGATTCGATAATGTTATGTTATTGAGCCTAATGTCCCTGTCCTCTGCTAGTTCTCACCTTTTGTGGCATCTTTTGTACTACACTGGCACTCATAATCCAGAATAAAATCACTCAACCAAAATAAACCAGAAAATATTAATTTCTCCAGTAAGCACAGAGGAAGGCTGTCTCTCCACACACACTCGTTAGTCAACCACCTCTCAGCTTCAATAGCTGCTCCATCTTTTCATGCAGTGTGCCACATAATCACATTTAAGTACAGCCCCTGGATGCACGCATGTGTCATAGCAGCTCGCAGTATGCTTGGAGTCACTTGAGGAAAGCACGGACGCCTTTGAGTACCTATAAATGGCCCCTAGGTGGGGGGTGTATACCAATTAAACGGCACAATGACGCATACATGCATGAGCATGCAATCTGTATGGGGTGGCATTCCTCTGCTGATCCGCGTCACACGGTGGAAGCTCCGAAATTGTAACACTACTTCACAATGTGAAAAATATTGTTTTTTGTGCGTGCGTGCGTTTTCTCCAGATGAGTGCGCAAGCAAAATTTATATACAAATTATATTTTATTGGTGTTTGAATGAAGAAATACAGCTGTTTATTCTCTAGTGGGACTTTGAGTGACTTTTTCCTCTGTCTGTGTGTATGTGTGTGTGTGAGGGTGTGTGTGTGTGTATGTGTGAATTTCGCAGTGCACTTATCACCTCAGCACAGATCCTGACTTTCTGCTTCAGGGAATAGAGGAGAGAAGACTTAAAGTCGCGCCTCTCCCAGCTTCTTAGCGCGTGTGGGTGTGTGTGCTCGGCAACGTGCATGAACGCTTGTGTGTGTGGCGGGTGTGTGCCCACGTGAGGCAGTTTGATTTCTAGTTGCAGTTTGAGGAGAAAGTTAATGAGGAATATGACCCGTGGCGGATTTTTTTGAGCGTTTCACTCGTTTGGCTTCCTCATAGTTTCTTCCCTCTCAGGTGTGTGCATGTCTCTGTAGAAGCATTTAGGGGGATAAAGATGTGTGTATGCGCACGTATGAAACAGCTTGTGAGAGAGGGAATATCGTCTGTTTTTATCACTTTCTCATAGTAAATAGTAAAGTCAATGCATCAATGCCTCACGTTGGGGAATTTGTTGAGACAACAATGCACACGTCGGAGAGGAATCAATCGTACTTTTTGTGCTAATATTCAATGCAGTCACATCCACGTCGCTTAATTACATTCCAAGTGTACTTGCACTTTTGTTGAGCCAGCTTTCATCAGAAGGTCCACCATTTGCAGGGTTAGGTGTCGGGGTCTGCTCCTGCATTGCCAGTCAGGCAGCAGGTGAAGGCAGGGAAGCCGGGCTATGAAAACTGGCACTTGGGACGTGAAATGTCACCCCTCTGGGAATGAAGCAGCTTGAGTGAGTGTGGAGGTGAAGCAATACCAAATAGATACAGTCTGGCTCACCTTCATGCACATCACTAGTCCTGGATATAGACTTGACTCACTCTTCCTTCTTCTCCAGGCAGGTGTGTGGATGGCCAAGATTCCCAGACTGAGCCCTACTAAGTTTCCCTTTATGTGCATTGCATGTGAATGATAAGGTTACACTGTGGACTCCTCACTTACTTGCTGTCTGTAATTCTATGGCTACACCGATATGCTGCGTTCCTGTCATTCCACTTATTGTAATTGAAAGTTTCAGACTTTTAAATAATGTTCGTGTCGTATTTACGGCTGGGAAACAGATGTTTCTGAAAGACGAGATGTGTCCAACGCTTCCTAATACAGAAGTGCCTGATACAAATATGGGCGTCTCACATCAGTGGATATCGGGTTATATTGTTAATCCTGAAACAACCAATTCTGTACTCATACAATTGTCTTGATGACCTGAACGTTTACATGGGGATCTTTCGCATCTCTACCATCCGTCCCATATGACGTGAACCAGCGTCGGAAATACACGAGGGCAAAGGGCAAAACTGCCCCTAAGAAATATAATTTTGCCCCCGATATCACTAGGAGAGGGGCAAAAAATGCCCCCATAATTTCCTCTAATAATAATGATAATTTAATGAAATTGTCAAAAACATCGTAGCCTATATGACCCGGTCCAGTTGCCACAGAATGGTTTTGATTTTCGCCTTGACTCGTGTTGCTTGTGCGTGAAGAATCGAATGGAGCGCTTCTTAATCAGACCTGTGACTGCGAGACTGCGGTCAACTCAGCAGACACTTAAATGTTAGTGCACCTATATGCTGAAAGTCACGGTAAACGCATTCAAACGGCACAGATCGGGAGTTAGCGGAAAAGATTAACGTGAGACAACATCCGGTTTCTTCAGACAAACATCCGGTTTTCAGAATAAGATGCCAATAAAGTATACATATTGCATAATGGAAACTAGATTAAATGAATTATATTCACATTAAGTATAAAACATGCTACCTGCATCTCGTGAGTTAAAGGGAAAATACACCTAAATTGTGCATAAAGTGTCTTTATTCTTTGATTTGAGGGTTGCTGGAAATGAATAATACCTGACTGACAGTCAATTAAGATATTTTACAAAGCAAAAACTCTGAACTGAATTTGTACCTTCAAATGGCACATTTTTTAAATATTTGAGGTGCTACAAAAATATTTTTCTCAATTCCACACAATGACTAATGCATATGTAATCAAGGCATCGTTGACTTAATAATTGTTAATAGTTGTTTAAAAAATGTAATAATAACAAATAACCACAAAGAAATAAGAATACAATTGAATATGATTGTCTGATTTATGTTTGTTTTTTGTTAAAAAATCTAAGAAAACACTTTGAATCTGTAGACTACTGCCTAATAGTCTTATTATTGCCATTTGATGACAATTGCTCACATACTGTAAGCCTAAATAAGTATATTTATTATTTTGAACAAAGGTTAAATGTTGTTTCACAAGTTTCAAAAAGTGCCCCCAATTCTTTGGAAATGCCCCTGGATTTCAGTCAGTGGGGGCAAAAATTGCCCCCTAAAAAATATGTAAATTTTCTACCCTGACGTGAATGCAGCAATACAGTGGCTGTGCAATATATATATCGGCTGATATTAGCTTGTTGCAGATGTGTCTCTCCGTCAGTGTGTGTATCACCCGATAGCACTAGCAGAATGACAAAATGACGCTGAGATAGCTCAGTGCATATCTAGATTCTTCAAAGACCGAATCTAAGGGATCATAAATGTTTGCTGTATGTAGAAGTAGACATTTAAATTTTGAATCTCTAAATATTTATACAGGCTGTATTGGTATCTAATGCTGAGCTTCACAGTTCATTCTCAACATTAAAAACTGACATGAAAGAAAAGCTGGACCTTTAAGGTGAAATGATGTTAAATATTCTATTCCGCTGAAGCGCTGCATGTCTTCTGTGTGGTATACCAGGGTTCAACGTTTTTATCTTTCTGTTTTTTTCACTTGCCCCATCAGAAATACTTGCCCAAAGTAAATTTTACTTTTATTTAATGACGGTTGTCAACTAACAAAGACTCAAGTTAATTATCAAGTTTGATCTTCATTTAAGTAAATTAATCTGGAGTTTCACATCCTCTTAACGTCATACAACTGAACTCCTCTTTCAACGATTATTGAAATGCTCGCTTGAGCTTCAGATCATGAATTTGTCTTCAGCCGGGGACATTTTCTCGCGAGTGAGTGATATGAGAAGGAAGCGAGATGACTCAGTCTGTGACTACTTCCATCATCAGCTCCGTTAAAAAAAAAAAACAACGCGTTTCGTTTTTTTTACCACTTGGGCAAGTAAGTTGCCTCTATTTACTAGCCTGAATTGGTATTCTACTTGCGCCTGGCATTCCTGACTGTTGAGCCCTGTAGAAAACTGGTTAGTGGCAGAGACGGATAAAATATAAATAAACTCTCAAGCTCAGTACGCACATGTCCATATATATTACCTCGTCCATCCTTACTGCCTTCCTTTAATTTTCTGCTGCATCCCCTCCCTCCTTTTTTCCCCTCATCTGTCCTCATCTGACACTTTCTCCTCGTGTAGCCTCCTCTTGTCGAGCACTTTCATCACAGTCTCTCTGCCTGCAGGTGATATTTGTATGATTGTGCTGGTTTGTCTTGTTGAATTAGATTTTGCTGCTTCCTTGCGGGCACCTGCAATCTTACATAAAAGATGAATAAAGTGAAGACGGGGAAAACGGAGAAAGGGAGCAAATTGCACTCTGCTGCAAACTTGACAGGGTGTCTTTGCTGTAATATTAATGCATTATTAATGATTTTTTTTTTGGAATCGGACCTTGAGATGGGGTCAGATAGTGGTTGCACATTATGTGCAATCAGCGCCCTCAATCCATGCTTTGTGAAGTCACCCATAAATTAGACAGAGCCCAGTTGAGCTTTGCCAGTCATTAGAAGTACAATTATTGGTTGTAGGATTAATTCTATTAGCATTCGTACATGACACACCCTGGAAGCTCCTCATGCCATAAAGTGCTTCATTGTCCAAAGTGAAATGTCCCCGGATAATTGGAATTCAAGTGAAACCTCTGAATCAAATAAAAGGTTTATCAAAGTTAGACATTATGTAGAGGGCAAAGTGTCTGTTTGGTTCACTGCCCAGAAGTGACGAGGTCTTAACTGCTGGGGGGGTGCTTGCTTTAAAGACAAATGAGTTCATGTGTTGTCAGTGTGGTCCTCGAGCACTTGTCAGACAGTCTGGTGTGTGTTAGCGTTCATTTGTCAGTAAGTAACGCAATCGACCGTGTCTATGAAAATCATGACTCATGAATTTTCTTTGACCGTGACGACACAATGTTGTTTACACTATACAGTATATTATATATATATATATATATATACATATATATATACATATATATATATATATAAAGTAT